AGACAGCACAGAGGCCAATACCGGCCCCCGGTCCAATGAGCACTGACACCAGTATGAGGATGCTGCAAATGGCGTTTATTGCTTCACTGACACCTCCTTATATACAATCACTCCTTCGTTACCGCCTTCATGTCTGCATAAGCAATCCACGTCATTTCCCTTAGCGTAAGCCTAAACATACATAGGAAGGAGTTCCCTCTCCTAACCTTTCCGTACATCGCGAGATCTTCCGACTGCCGTTCCCTACAAAAGCCACTACCCCTTGCTCTTGTAAAATTTCCACATCCAAGTAGTTGATGTTTGTTGCTCTTCCCTCATCCACCAATGCTGTAACCCTATCGTAGGAGGCCACCAAATTTTTGCCCTTAATGAAACCCTGTTAGCTGTTACCAATCACCTCTTTCTTTCCCATGTGCCTTAGCATAGATTCTAGGAGAATCTGCTCCATGATCTCGTCAGGCACAAATTTGAGACTGATCAGCCTGTAGTTCTCAGGGTCTCCTTCTACATGCTTGTGTGCATTAGTAATCATCATCATGAACAAAATCACATTCCCTGGAGTAAGTTATTTTGAAGAAAGGCATATTGAAGTTAATATTCTTTATATTTTATTTCTCAAGTTAAAAAGTTGTATGGTCCTTTAAATTTTCTGCTTGAGTGTAAAATGCATTTTATCCTACTATACTTAATAGCATGACTCCTTACGAAACAGTGACTTCTTAGTCATTTAATGAAATATGATGCAGTGGAAACAGAGGAAACCAACGCATTTTCTCTTGCATACTTCTTTAGTAATCCTGCTGTATTGTATTAGCCAACTCTTTGTAAATATGTAAACATTTCTGTAATATGCACTGTTTCCTTCTTCAGTATCTGTGCAATAGGTCTTGAATCTTTTTTATGTTTTGAGGTTTTTTTTCTCATTGACAGAGAACTCCCAGTTCTACCCAGTATAGGTAGAGTTTAATACCAAAGTTAAAATCCCCTAACTTACTCTGAGATATTTCATCTTGTTCATAAATTTTGGTCCTGAAGTGAAAAATGGTCTTTGATCTGAATCAGCCTCTTGGAATAGGTAGATTCTCCTCACCTGTCCTCCTGAACCTGGCAATGTTTGTATGTAGATTTAAAAAAGTGTATAGAGGTGACTGGTCCATAGAGAACAAAAGTCACATGAGTATTCACAATCTTCGTTTATGATTAATCAGTTGCATGTTCTTTAAAATGTACTTTGCTTGCC